TGTGTGTGTGTGTTTGTGTCCGCAGCAATTTGTCCCCAACTTTCAACTCGGCAACCACAAAGACTAAGAAGCTGAAAATTTGGGGGAACGTTCTCAACTCACGTGCGACCCCGCAAATTTAAATTCAGCCTCCCCATACCCGCGGATAACACGTACGGCCCCGCAAAAGTTTGGACGGGTAAAATTATTATCACGGGAACCACGGAAGTTAGAGGGCTGAAATTTTGTGGGCATGTCCCCTACCCATGTGCTATCCAGAAAATTTAAATTCAGCTTTTCTCTGCCCTCGGGTAACATGTACGGCCCCGTGAAAATTTCAGCTTCCTCGACTCCGTGGCTCCCGAGCAAACTGCTATTTCGGGAACCGCAGAGTCTAGGAAGCTGAAATTTTAGGGTAATGACTCCTGCCCACGATTGATCTTGCAAATTCAAATTCAGCGTTCCAGCGCTCTCGGTTATCACTTACAGCTTCTTGAAAATTTTGGCGGGTAAACTATTATCTCTGGAATCGCGGGAGGATATTCACCCTTCAAGGTTTCAAATTCAGCTTTCATGCGCCGGTGCGTGAAATTTTAACTGTCTTCTAACGTTTCAACTATTTTTGCACAGACTGAACTACAAAACAGTGAAAATCATTAATAGGCAGTTCAGCGAGCGGAATTGCACAAAACGCATGGTTGCACCGGCTAATCTGGTGCGTGTTGCTATTTATTATTTCTTGTCCTGAAAAAATTATGGGAAAAAAGTGGGAAATGTTATATGGGAAGTGCTTATACCGAAATTATTGGGAGTTGTTTATACTGTTTTTCATATTTTTTATTACAACTTTATTATTGCTTACGCATTATCACGAACTATACTTCTGATAGCTGTGGCACAGTGCTGGAGCCGGTGAATTCCAGCGGTATTTGGGCGATACATTTCTCTCTCTCGTTCGCATTGCAGGTGATCATGTCCAGGAACTATCGGGGTGACATTGAGATGTCGGTGATCGATTCGTTCATGCCACTGCTCATGGAGAAGGAGGACGAGGGCCAGCTAGCCCCAGTGCTGCAGAAAAACGATGTCAGCTATGTGTACGTCAAGCATCTCAACATTTTTCGTAAGTTCTTGAATCGGACTTTGCACTTCAAGTTGGCATTTTGGCCATTTTTACTTAGCTAAATACTTTGTGTGTGTAACTATTTTCCCAGGACAACAATTTAGGTGTTATTATCTTCCTTAGGTTATTTGAAAGATGATTGCGTGTTTGTTTCGAATGCATGCTTGAAAGTATGGCGACATTTTGCATCACCTTCGTTTTCGATTTAATACCTTTTGTTTTAAAGAATCATGCACGAGTGATTTACGATCAGGTTTCTGAACTTGTCAGTTTTCCGTTTTTAGCTAAGAAATTATCTTACCTAAATTGACACACTTTTATTATATAAATTTTGTTTCCCCTGTTTTTGTTGCATGCCAGGCTTCCTCTGTCTTGCCGTGTTTTCTCCCCTGTTGATTCCCTTTTTTTTCCTTTTGCAATTCTCACCATCCTTTCAGTTTTTCAAGTGATAATCCTATTTTCTGCACATTGGCTTCAAATATCCTCGATTTTCTGTAAAATTATAATATCATGTTCAATCCCAGTCTAATTAAAATGGTGGTAGGACCAGTGAAAGATTGTGTAAAAAAGAAATCGGCATTATTGGAATTCCTTTTTTTTTCGTAATTAGTGCAGTAGATTTAGGTGCTCAATCCTATTTTATGTTAAAAAAAAGCAATAAAAAGTATGCAAACTGGAACGAGTTGTTTCG